GAACTATCCTTCCAAAGTTGTGAAAATCTTGCATTGATTTTCCGACTTAAATGCTACGTAAGCAATTACGTTTTCAAATCGTACTTATTTTACGATTCTTACTGAGCTTTTGTTTTTTTTTTGTTGTATTTCGTCTTTAATATATTAAATTTATATCCGCCTGGCAATATAGACACCAAAAAATGTTAACTGACTTAGAAAAAAAAAAAAGAGAAAAACGAAAATAATTTTTATCCCTGTTTTATACTCCTTGCTGGAAGGACAATTTTTACTGAATTCCTGCGATAAGAACGTGACCATTTTCGTTCAAAAATGTACTTAATCGTTTTTGGATATCAACTCAAGAAGAAAATTTGATTTTCATTGTTGTTCGAATTGTTATGGGTAAATAAATTTTTTGCATTTACCATTTTAGTTAAAATTGGATAGGAGAATCTACGAAATGCGGACAAAAAGCGTTCGCATCACATGCACGTAATCGATAAGTTACCTAACAGATATTTTTTCTCGTTTTCTATCGGAAGCAAATGGCACATTTGCACAAATTGGATTAAAGTTTTTACTTTGACTAGGAATTCCTTCACTTCCTCTCCGCTTCTTGACAGTTAAATTTCGTTTACACCTTAGAGCATTTGCACGTGGAAGCTTCAATGGAGTTGGTGTTTCAGGACGAGGCATGAAATGTATGAAAATAGTTAATGAGTCGCATTTGTGTCACTATAAATAGTGTAATTACATATATGGTTTCAATTATAATTCAAAGATGATTTGAGATACCCGTAATTATCTGGTAAATTTCAACATTTCGAACATTTATTGAAGTACAAACTAGACTCTAAGCCTCATTTCCTTACCTAACATACTGCATATTATCAATTCATCAATGCAACGAAGTTGAATGCATCTTCACATATTCATATTTCTCTACATATTTATATAAAGGACTGTCGAAATACTCACTTCAAAGTGTCGGTAACTGCTTTTGTGTGCCTTTTGTGGCATTTAATGTAAAGCCACTAATCATAGGTTTCTACTATATCGAAGAGTATCAATGATGATGGGTTGTGATTTCGCTTCATTTGTCTATATATATGAAAATAATTATAATTAATACTGTTGACTGTGTATTCATAGCGACAACTTTAATCTTCTTCTAGCAAGTTCCCTCCAACTGTCATCAAAATTGTTATTGATAATGTGATTGTTTTCAGTTAGGGATGAATTCTAGTATCTGTACACTCAGAGTAGACTTATAAAAAAATAAATATACATGACTTACATATACATAACTTATATGCATTCACATTCGTCACAGAAATGATTCATAAGTATATTCGTTAACGAATGCCGGAGTTATTGAATCAGTCTCACAAAAATGCGTACACATTTCTATCGCATATATATGCATACCTGATGTCCATCTCCAACACTTTTACAAGGCTAAGAAGAAAAACGTCGAGAGACGTTTTAGATATGTTTATGTAGGACACACATTTCTATTTGAAGTATATGTTATATGTATATGTCACTGGGCATAGTCCGTACGCGCCTTTCTTTTTTCCGAACATAATAATAGTTTATTCCATTTTTATTCCATTAATTTTTGTGATTATTTCATAGATCTGTGAAAATGATAAGTTATTGTATTTGAGTTGTAAACTGAAGTTGTAAAGTCTTTCAAGCAATACTATAAATTTTAACACTAGTTCGTTTAAGAACTTGCAACAGATAAACTGGCAATCAAAGAATCAAAGAATATCCGAACATGTTAAACAAGATTGGTCAAATGAGTCCTCTTGTCAGATCTTCATATTGTGCTGGCCTTAACTAGATAAAAAATGCACCAGACAGCTGTTTCAACTAAGGTGTAATCTGCTTAGTACTACGGTAGCGATGCTGATGGATCACTGCTTAATAGGAAGACATGCTATGAAACTGGGTCAACATTATAATAACTTTGGTTGAGGTAGTGGTTTTACGAACAATGACGAAACTGTGCTTCATCTCATGAGTCAGTGTTCATTTTTAGCTAGGAGTAGATTTAAGACCTTCCCTATTCTTACCGATCTAACAGAGTCCATCGTCCTGCAAAGTTATGGACTTGAACAAATTCATAGTATTGTCAGGTTGATGCGTCTTTACCTGCCTTTCTGCGTTGCTCGTACGCTGACTTTGAGTTGGCCTAACCTAACCTAACACTATATCTTAGTCGAATGGAATTTTAGATAGTCTTATTTTATCTAATTATTTTTTTTATCAAAAAACTATTAAAAATTTGTCTCATACAATTATTTTATTTAAAAACTAATGGTCAGAACACAAGTTGGTAATAAATAAGTAAAAAAGTTTTAAAGAATATAATAAGATAAAGATTAAACAATATAATATGATTTTTAGAAATATATATAGAGAAAGTAATACTAGATATAGCAATATATTCTATAAAGTCTAAATTAAATAAAGAAATAAAATAAGATAAGTCCAAATAAACTATCCAAGACTACAAATGTGCAGATTTCGAATACTTAAAATCAGTGAGTCACAAAAAAAAGTTCAGTTATATATTGTCTATTATATGTACTCCAATATACTAGTAAGTATATATTAGGTATATAATGTAAAATATGTATTTCACATCTTATTACATTGAATTCTATGTATCAAAATTCAACCTCTCAAAGTGTTGTAATGTCCATAAGGCAGATGGAGGCTATTATGTGCCGAAGTTTTATGAGTGATTGTCTTGATTATTGGTACCTTGACGGGATATGGGTAATAGAATGGTGTCACCACTTGTTTTTGTACATAATACGGTACCCGCTTTTCAACCAAATATGGAACAGATTGTTGAACCGGGAAAGGTTTAATTTTTTCGATTGGAATCTTAATTTCCTGTATTTGTGGTACTGTTACCGTCTTCGTCACCGGTATTTTTATGGGTAGAGGCCGTGGCACAGTTGTTATAACTGGGCGTGGTATTTCGATATTCACGGTTTGATTGAAGGGTACCTGAACTTGATGATATTTCGGTATCGGCACGAACTTAGTGACTTGTACATGTTTGCTTAGCGGTGTCCCGGCCAGAGCAGCTGAGCTTAGTGGCGTGTGATGCACCGTTGTTGTAATAGGTGGCAACCCCTTTGTTGTGGTGTGAAAATGCTGTGCATTGTGTGGCTGAGGTGCATAATTTGTGTTAATGTGTTGCGGATTTATGTTGTGCTTGTAGTAGTGTTCTTGCAAATGTTGCAAATGCTGCAAATTGTTGTTATGGTTGGCACTAATCTCATCGCCACGGGTATAATAATATTGCGTTTGCGATGGTGATTGCGAGCTATCGGCGAATTTCTCATTATTAATGACATGCAAATTATTATTAGTTGCTGATATTGCTGTTGGTGTTGTTG